GCAAAAGTAGTAACAGTAGTAGTAGTAGTAGTAGTAGTAGTAGTAGTAGTAGCAGCAATAGTCATAGTAGTAGTAGTAGTAGTAGTAGTAGAAGTAGCAGTAGTAGTACTGTAGCAGCAAAAGTAGTAACAGTAGTAGTAGTAGTAGTAGTAAGTACTAGTAGTAGCAACAGTGGTGGTAGAAGCAGTATAAGTAGTAACAGTAGTAGTAGTAGCAGCAGTACCATTAGTAGTAGTAGTACTAGTAGTAGTAGTCGTCGTAGTAACAGTTGTAGTAGGAGTAGTAGCATTAGTAGAACTATAGCAGTAGAAGTTGTAAATAGTAGTAGTTGTAGTAGCGGTAGCAGTGGTAGTAGTAACAGTAGAAGTAGTAGTAGTAGTAGTAGAAGTTGTAACATTAGCAGTACTGTAGTGGTAGAAGTAGCAGTAGTAGTAGTAGTAGTAGTAGTAGAAGTTGTAACATTAGCAGTACTGTAGTGGCAGAAGTAGCAGTAGTAGTAGTAGTAGTACATAATGAAAGGTTATCTGACATAAACATACACAAGTGCCCTCCCTGTGCGTCAGATGCCCTCCCTGTGCGTCAGATGCCCTCCTGCCCTCCCTGTGCGTCAGATGCCCTCCCTGATGCCCTCCCTGTATGTCAGATGCCCTCCTGTGGTGTCAGATGCCCTCCCTGTGTGTCAGTGTCAGATGCCCTCCCTGTGCGTCAGATGCCCTCCCTGTGCGTCAGATGCCCTCCCTGTATGTCAGATGCCCTCCCTGTGCGTCAGATGCCTCCCTGTATGTCAGATGCCCTCCCTGTGCGTCAGATGCCCTCCCTGTGCGTCAGATGCCCTCCCTGTACGTCAGATGCCCTCCCTGTATGTCAGATGCCCTCCCTGTGCGTCAGATGCCCTCCCTGTATGTCAGATGCCCTCCCTGTGTGTCAGATGCCCTCCCACACACGTTCTGTAGCTGTGGTTTAGTTCTTTCACACACATATTGTTCTCGTTCTGCCGCGGTGCCATTAAACCTCTGTACTTTTCAATTATAAATGCTGCATCTGTCTCAAAATGGTGGATTATTCATGTCCGCGTGCCGCCGCCGCTCGCGCGATGCAAAATGTATGACTTCTGTTCCTTATAGCTCCGTTTGCGTACAGGAAAAAACTCCACATGTAAAATTGATCTGAATTAAATCAAACCAGAAATGTGTCGACTCTTCAAAGCATCAGAAATGGAAAAGAAAATAGGAGATCATTACAAAGGTTGTTTACCGAGAGAATCCTACTTCAGATAATACTGCAAAACTATAAAAAGCAGCAGTAGTAGTAGTAGTAAAGGTAGTCGAAGTAACAGTACTAACAGTAACGGTAATAGTAGTGTTGTAGAAGCAGCTATAGTAGTAGTAGTAGTAGTAGTAGTAGCAGCAGAAGTACTAATAGTAACAGTAGTAGTAGTAGGAGGTGAAGTAGTAGTAGCAGTAGTAGTAGTATCAGTAGTAGTAGTAATAGTAGTAGTAGTACTAGTACCAGCAGCAGTAGTAGTAGTAGTAGTAGAAGCAGTAGTAGTAGTTCTAGTTGTAGTAGTAGTACTTGTGGTAGTAGAAGAAGTAGTAGTAGCAGTAGTAACATTAATAGTAGTGCTAGTAGTAGTAGCAGTAGTAGTAGCAGCACTCACAGTAGTAGTAGTAGTAGTAGTAGTATTTATTTTATTTATTTATTTATTTAAGAAAATAGGGACAAAACACATTAATGAACATATACATGATATGTAAATATGTTATCAGATTATAGCCCAAGGCTAATTTCCATCTGCTGTCCCTAGGCAGGTTGATGTAATCATAAAACAAAATCACAGTAAAAACAATACACCCCGACAGACAATACAATAATACAAATAGACAGACACAAAGAGCTGGTCAGTCACAAGATCACAGACACAGGTCAAGTAAAGGATGTTGGATTATTTGATCAAAATTGCACGCTGCCTTGTTTAGTTAAGATGCCAGTGTATAGATATTGCACACAGCCCATAGCTAAAATTACTATAAAGTGCTTTTCTACAATGTATTGCACGTGCCCTCGAAGGTAAAATTCTTTAGTATATTACATACTGCCCGTAATTTAAATATTAAAATACTTAATTAATAGCATATTGCACTTTGCCCATTGCACATTGTAAACTATCGTAAATGATCACACACCTGTGTCGACCTGAGCCATGTCTTTAAATGGCCTTTAAAAGTCGTAAAGCTGGGGGAGTCTCTAACTGTGGGTGGTAAACTGTTCCACAGAACACTGCCCTTATATGAAAACACATTTTGACTGAAAGAGGTTTTTCTATCAGGCACCTCACAGTCACCTCTGGTTGTGGCCCTGGAGGAGCGACATGTAACACTTGACCTATACCTGATATAATCACTGAGTGGGGGTGGAGCTAAACCGTGCAAAATCTTATACATCAAACAGGCATTTCTAAATTTTATAAAATTCTGAAAGCTCAATAGATTGTATTTGGAGAGCACATTGCAACTATGGTAAGTAAAGGGTTTCTTGTCTAATATTTTCAAAGCTTTTTTGTAGAGGGATTCTATTGACTTAAGAGTTGTTACACCTGACAAAGACCAACTGGTTATACAATAACTAATGTGAGAAAAAATCATACAATGTAAAAACATCATTGCAGCTTCATTAGTTAATGACCTGCGTATTTGAATAAAATTGCATAGATTGTATTTGATTATTCTAGACACCATTTTAACATGGTTTTTGAATGTAAGTGCAGAGTCCAACATTACTCCCAGATATTTGAACTCCTTCACTAATTTCAATTCTTGACTTTTGAAATACACATTTGACCTAGTTACCTTATTTTTATTTTTATTTTTAGAAAAAAACATACACACAGTTTTTTGTGTGTTTAACAGGAGACAGGACCTGGTGAGCCATTTCTCAACATGTGTTAATGCTGATGTGAGAATCTGAGATACTTCTTTAAAATTTTTCCCACTTGTGAAAAGCACTGCATCATCTGCATAAAGCTGTATATCCACATCTTTACAAATGTCCGGAAGGTCATTAATGTATAGAGAAAATAAGAGGGGGCCCAAAATTGACCCTTGGGGAACCCCTAGAGGGCAATCTTGGAAAGAGGACTTCACCCCATTTACCACAGAACACTGTTTTCTATTGCATAAATAAGATTCCATCCATTTTGTAGTTTTGTTGGAGAATTTAAAGGAGGACAGTTTTGATAGTAATACATTATGATTCACAACATCAGTGTATGTGGTAATAGTATTAGTAGTAGTAGTAGTAGTAGCAGTGGTAGCACTCATAGTAGTAGTCGTCGTAGTAGTAGTAGTATACATGGTGGTAGTAGTAGTAGTAGTAGTAGTAGTTGTAGTAGTAGCAGTGGTAGCACTCATAGTAGTCGTAGTAGTAGTAGCAGTAGCAGTAGTAGTAGTAGTAGTAGTAGTAGTAATAGTAGCAGCACTCATAATAGTAGTAGTAGTAGTAGTGTATGTGGTAGTAGTATTAGTAGTAGTAGTAGTAGCAGTGGTAGCACTCATAGTAGTAGTCGTAGTAGT